ATTAGCAGAGAATAACCAGTTGTTTCATGCACTACCAATCCGTAGCCAGAGTTTCAGTAAACGAAAATTAAACCTTTGACAACATGGCCAGCAAAAATAAAATTAATAAACAACGACGTGAAATAAATTAAAGTACAGCTATATCCTTTTGCTTATTAACATACGCACTAATATAATGTACATTATTACATTTGGAATTTTGTGCGCCCCCCAGGGGCGGCGGTGCCCCTGGGGGCAGTACTTCTGAACCCTGAACACCCCCGAACCTTGAACAAGAAACTCCGTACCGAGAGTGTTCAGGGTCGGGAGGTTCCACTGTACACGTTCTGATCTGTGTTTTTGAATGATTGGCTGTGGCCAGTGTTTATCAGAATGGTTGCCATTTCTGATGTGTCTGGCCGGACGGATTGCGGATCTTCGAGCTCTTCGGAGGGAGAGGATGGATGAAAACCTTACCTGGATGCAAAATGTTTGGATGGACTGATGATACTGGACGCGCATGGAACCAGGAACTCAGAGGACTTGGACGGGACACGAACTTCATCAACTTGGACCTCCATTCGAGCCCTCGTCACACCCCGGATTCCACACGCGAACGATGAAATGGATCCCCAGGATTACGGTACTTCCCTGGAGTTTGAGTTTTCTTTGATTTTGGTTTTTGTTTGTTGTTTGCTTGATTAACGCGGACGTTAATTCCGTAGCAGTGGGGGTAACGCGCTATGCGTAGTTGCGCGTATTACGTACGTGTTATGACGTACCTGTTGTCTGTTCCGTTACGTATGACTTGCTGTTCTTATCTAACGGATTTGATCGCTAATGCGATCCACGATTCTGATTTGCATTACAGTCTGAAGTTTCTGACTTCATCTAAATCTGTGAGCTTGTTTCTAGCTGAAAGGTCGTGTGACTCTAGGTTAGAAGGAAGTTCATATCTCATTCTGTTCTGTTTGTTCGTTCGTTCGGTTTGGTGATTAAACATTTGGGAAGTTCTTGAGTGTTTTGGTTTCGGTAACTTTCGTTAGGCACAGCAATCCGCTCGTACCTTGCGGAAGTAGGCAGTAGTACCACTTACGGAGTCCAGAGCATATTCCCACTCTACCGATTGAGTAGGTTTGGTCATCTAGTGCGGTTGTCGCGGTGCGACTTCCGCATAGCATGTCAATATCTGTAATTACTGTTTTTAGATCAGTAATGTGCTACGCCTCCGATGCTCCCAATATGCACAATAAAATTACTATCAGGAGTACTATCAGTCACCACACAATACATTTGGCGCGGCAGTATTCACGATGTAATAAAAAAGCTATTCCTAGGATAATAATATTACGCAGGACCATTGCGTAAACAAAAGCGCTTACTGCTTATGATTTTGTCAAATTAATTAGAAAGGCACTGCATTATACGCGCGCACGCACTTGGCCTCTAGCTGCTAGCAGAACACTCTCTACACCGCGAATCGCTTTTGGTAAAGACGTTCCTCACTTTTTCAGCCAAAATCGTCATCGTCGTTATGTTTCAATGACATATTGAGAAAATGTCCATAGCGTAAGACAACTGTTAAAATTTTGAAATTCACGAAGCACGTTGGATGTTCGATTTGTACAAACCTGGAAAAACGAAAAGAATGTCCATAAAAGTTTAAATTTACTCGCAATGTGCCATAGCGAACGTGTTCCAGTGGGAAATAACGTTGTTAGATATTATTGTAGTATAATGACAGGTAAAGGCAGTTACTTACCGCACTTTTTAGATTTCGGTTGTCTCGTGCGCCATTTCTGTTTTTTTTTAGACTGCGCGGGTATTTTTTATTTGTCGTTACTGTTTTGCTGCTTTGTTGTGACGACTATGGTTATATACTCATTTGTACAAAGAAATATATCTGTGGTTATGCTGAAAGAATTTTCGTCAATACAAACGTTTTGTTCTCAAGGAGCGTTTATTTCTGAGATTTAGGTATTAATCGATGACTATAAAGAAGAACAAGGAACACAAGAGTACAAAGAAGCGGCAGCGGCAAACGAAATACTATTTTATAATTAAAAACTGGTTTTGATTTTCAAATGTACTCGTGTTTTATAAATAAAATAATTATGATGTACGCTACGATTTTTTGAATATTCCTGAAGCTTACAGAGTTTTTCATCTTGTTCTTAAATTCTTAACGATAAAAAGAGTTTGTAATGGTTCCATGAAAACTTGCCGAAATAACGATTATGAAAATCCGTTTACTTAATCAGTCAGAGAGTTTCCACTCGATGTGAATCAATATTTTCATCCCTCTCTCATGACTCTCATCACGCCTCCGCTGTTTTACCGGATACACAGTTTTTAATAATACCAACACAGTAATAAAGTGATCAACGCCCGGCATGGTGAAGTGAAGACTGGAAAAAGATGATCTCACAACGCCGTAGATATACGCCGCTGGCTCCGATGCTTTGATTTAATTGGCTCGCATGCAAGTCTTCAATAGCTCTTGTATACATATTAATAGTAGAGAAAGCGAACAACGAAGACCTGCGTCAGTCGAATGAAATTTAGTTGCGAGAGCGCAGTCATGCGGTGCTGCGCAGTGTTTCCCGTTTTACTACAATTTTCGAGCATTCTAACGTCTATTATAATTTGGGGAAGATGGTGTGACAGATGTGCAGATCACATTGTTGATAGCTAATACTTCTATTTACTGAAACGAACAATACACAATGGCTTTTCTAAATTCCGCATTATCATTGTGGCGTTCCTCACCTGTGCTATCTAATTTTTCTCACAATTCGACCGATGTTGGGAACTTCTCATCTCCACCGTTTGTTATTACCAGTGCGACAAAAACCTGGCTAATCGTTTACGCCGGAGCATGCGGTCTAGGAACGCTTCTAAATCTCTCCATTCTACTGGCCATCGCCACAAACCGGCGATTGCGCACCGGTACCGGTTGGCTCATCGCCCATAAACAGATCCTCGACACGGTTTTATGCGCCGTGATTTTTCCGCTTGGCACCGCACCGGTCTTTAATTTCTGGATCGTTCAACCGCCACCGAAAATAGACTGTAATTTTGTCCAGACCTTCCAAATCGTCTTCATGCAGGTGGGATACTGGACAGCGTTCTTTCTGGGCGTTAACCGCTTTGTCGCGCTTATCCTACCGCATCGGTATAGGCAGCTCAGCTCGCCAAGGGCTACTGTGGGCTGTGTTGTATTTTCCTGGACGGTGGTATTGTCGGCCAAGCTGCCGTCGCTATTCGGTACTGGAATGATCAGCGGCATGCAGCCGTCACTGACGTGCGGGACGATTCGAACGGTCAATCGCTCTATTATGGCGGCTACCGTTACGGCTGGACAGTATCTGCCTGTTATCCTTCTAGGTGCGGGAGCTAGGCCACATACATACTGTATTCCGCAAGATTTTGATTATGCGGTCGCTGCTATTTTGTTTTTATTTTACAAAACAAAAGTGGTCATATTGGCCATATTAGTTTCCGATACTTCAAATCTTTGATATGGAAGCTTTTAGTTTTCTTAGAAATATGAGCGGCATTTAATATTGTTAAGGTTAATCTGGCCCATGATTGGTGGCGTAGGCATGCTGTACGTCAGCATTTTCACCGTGATGACATTAAGGAGACGGCATCGCGGTATCCATGCGAGTAATGCTACACCACTGCATCGTCTATCACCGTTACCATCGGTGCCATCTATCATCATCTACAAGCGCCGCGTAACCAAAGCTAAATTGCTTTTTGCCTCGTACATGTGGAGCACGGTGTGCAGTCAAGTGCCGCTCATTGTCATTGTTCTGGCAGCAACGCAAAAAGATCGCCCAGCTGATCCGCTGGTATCTTACTGGATGCGGACCGTCCTGGTGGCGGAATATGCTATAAATCCGGTATGATCCTGCTTTTATTATGCCGATACTTATGAATATTCTTTTACTGTATTTACACGATATTAAGGGACAGAGAAATCCCCAGGACCGCCCGCGCTAGCTGTCGGTTCCGTTGACATCAATGGATACAGTAACCTTTCAATATTCTTAAATAACCTTTTAATACTGTATTTCAGTTCAAATTTTTATTCACTTTAATTATGCCTCGGATCTGCCGTCTGCGGTATTGTATGCTATCTGCATATGTACGATTCTTCCGCTAATTGATTAGCCAATGCGTGTCTCTTTTCGGTGACCATATAATTACATAAATTTTATGTCATATATAGTACTGTCTCTGCAGATTCTGTTCCTGTTGCTGAGCGCAGAATATCGACGCGGTGCGCAGCGGCTCTGGGTGGGAGTTATAGGCGCAAGGCTCTGTGCCGGGAGGCAAAGTTGTCCCGGTTTGACGGAGGTACCAAAGGCAATGACGAAATAGAGTCAAAGTCACAGTGACATCAAAGAGGAAATCTTCGCATGGGAGAAACATGGCTGTGCGTCGACTGATATAGCTCTGAAAACTGAAAACCTGCAAATGCGCAGTCCGCACGGAATTGAGCAGCCTTTAACGGTAAGCGAGAAAGCGCGCTACTGTTACAGTTAAAATGAAGTCAGAGAGTACAATGCTATTGTATGCATTAATAACTTTATATACATCTTCCCTTTTTTTATGATATGACCGGTTTTTTACAAATTTGATTGCTCCAATACAAAATTTACGTATGTAATTTCGTAAACTTTCGATTATTTGCAAGATTTACCTATATGATGCAAAAGTTGGATCCCAGAGAACGCTTAAATTTCTCTAACAGAGAAAAGGCAATGATACGGTAACACTTTCTGTTGGTGTATGTCACCTCGCTGCGGGCGTGTCAGCTGCTTGCAAATAATTAGCAAAACTAAGGTTTGTAGACTATAATGCTTATCGGAATCACTGTCGTGAGCAGCAATATTTCATTTAGAACTGACTGACAGTAAACTGACAAAGCAGTTCTTCGTTCACTTCCTTACTTGAAGCCGGCAGTAATGTTGGCATTCCCGTTTGTCATTTATACATACACATTCACACACCGGCTGCAATCATATACCTGTAGGCGAAAACTGAAAATCTGAACCAGGCATCCGCGTTGTTCGCAATCGCATTGCCGTATTCCACAAGGAAGCAGCGCCTGCCGCATTGCTGCTGCGGTTGTTGCTGGTGTGCAGTTAACGAACACCGTAATAATGTTCGGCCTTGTATTAGCTTCCTTGATCTGCTCATGCTACGGCATTGAATTGGCCAATGTCCATCAGACGAAAGGAGCCGCCGCCGACAAACCGGTGGAGATTAGTTGGGGCACCAATGACACGCACGTCGAAGTACAGCTGTCCTATCCGACACTGGGCTGGCTGGCCATGGGACTATCACCCGACGGCGGTATGGACCAATCCGATGTCTTGTTCGGATACTTTGACGATCAGACCAATGACATTATCGTGCAGGTAAAAACGCACTGATTTCCGTGATAGCAAGCTTATTAAGCCGAATTAATTAGCGGAAACTGATGCGGTACGCCATGCCACTATGGCTACTGTACAGCAAGCTTGACATTTGATAACTATAAGTATACAATTTACATACGCTGCAGTCATATCCCATAAAAACTAAAGCATTGTAATAACAAAAAACATAACAGATCTAAAGCATTGCAATAATAAATTGAAGCATTAAATTTACGATTGAATGATTTATTTTCCAGTTTTAATCAGCGCGATGAGCTGAGGGATGACATTGCTTGATTTGATTTTAAATTCGAGCGTTGTTCATTAGCCCGCGTAGTGTTCTGCTGTCCGCTCTTAATGTTATTCTAATGCAAACGAATTCGCAAAAAATATTTAATAATGCAGTTACTGCATTCCATAATTAGGATCGTTACTTGCAAGCCAACACGGCCAAACATACCGTCAACTTGAGCCTGGATGACCAACAAGATTGGCAGAAGATATCCGGCTCAAAAAATGGAACCTACACGGTTTTACGGGCCGTACGCCGGCTGAAAACCTGCGATAATGCCGACCGTCCCTTCCAGGTAACGTCAAACTTCACTGCTCCCAACTACGCAAATACTGCATTAGGAGCAATAGAAAGCTGAACTAACGTCGCACTGAAATGTTTAATTCAAGAGTCTTTACAGAATATCCTTCAACACGTCATCTACAGTCTCAACAATAAACCGCCGTCCAGTCCCACCGCAAAAATTCAATATCACAACTTCCGCTTCTCCACCAGCATCAATTTTATCGCGCCGGACCAGATGGCGGAACGCGCGATGCCCTTGAATCAAACGGGAATTAATAAGGAACTGCAATTTACCATCGGCAATGTACATGCAGAGATGAATTACATTACAAATATAAAAAAACAAGAAAATATATATTACTTACATACGAAATTGGTTTACTTATTGCATCCACTTTCGGTTCAGTACGTCAACCCTTTCATAACACACTATTCAATTAGAAACAACCGTAGTAACTAGTAAGTTAACAAAGTACTCATTTTCATAAAACAACAGTTTTTGGTGAATGTGTTTCAAATAAGTTCCGTCCGCATAACCGTCATTTAGCTGGCGCTTATACCGCACTCATGGTCTTTAGGCAGTTTTGTCCCGTGTTGTAGGTATCCGTAACCGGCAACGAAGACACCGTATACTGGTGCGCCCTTCAAAAGATCCCCGTGCTGGAGAAAAAATATCATGCCGTTGCGGTAAAGTGCAGTGCCAAATTTAATAATGTGATGCCGGCCATCTTCTTCTCTTACAGACCCAACCCCTGATGGACCCCAAGAACGTGGTCAGCATCCATCATATGCTGGTGTACTCTTGCGACAACATTCCAGAGGATGCACCCGAATTGAAGCAGGTTAAATTCACATGCAATCCGGCTGATGGATCACCGTTTCTTATGAAATACTGTCCGGGTTTGCTGGGCGGCTGGGCCATGGGCGCCGAGGTATGTAATCCGCGTGCCGGTACAGTTTGATGGTGTGAATGTGCCAGGGTTTGTTTTAACAGCGTTTTCAGCTAAAATGCTCGCAATTCATAATAATTAGAAACACTATGCGAAAGGTAGTAAATAAATAACAAGGATAACGTAACGATAAAAAATACGATAAAAAGTACAAATACAAAGATAAAACCAGCTAGTTAAACTTAAAGTTGGCGAGTTACCTTTATAATTACATTTTCGAATTTATCCCCGGTTGTACATCGCTGCAGTATACCGAGATGTGTTACGCTGGCTGTAATAAATTTTATTTAAATGACTATATCACTCACGTTGCGGAAACTCGGTAAAATAGCGATAACCGAACAAGTTGCCAAAAACCCAGTTCTGGTATCACATTTTGGTGGCGTTTGATTATGCAGGACGTGCATCGGTTCCCGAAAGAAGTTGGTCAACCCTGGGGACCGGAAATGTCCGGAAAGTACGCATTAGTCCAGGTTCATTATAACAATCCGGATCGTCGATGTAAGTTTTTAGTACAGAGGTAACAATGTCACAATAATACAGTACATAGTATGCAATGCGTTATTTAACTTACCTAAACCGAAACAACTGTATTCTCTAGCGTTCGTCGACAATTCGGGAATGAAGTACCTGCTAACGGATAAGCTGCGACAGTATGATTCCGGAACGCTCATGACCGGCATACTCAGTTTGGACTGTAAGCAGCACTGACGTGCCTAACATACATTTATTTTGAAAACCACAAGTTGGAACTAGCGTCGTTGCTTTTTAAGAAAACCGTAGCCACGACGTGAAATTTCTGTGATACATCAGATAGATCCATTGATATGCTCGGATAATTTCCGTGTTTATTTGCAATTTTTTTTGTCTTGTCACTAGTTACGATGACCTTACCACCAGGCCAGAAAGTTTTCAATATCCAAGGACAATGTCCGGAGTTCTGTACGAACTCGGTAAGACTGCGGACGCTCATAACGCCCCATAATCCGTCTGTTTGTACCAGTTAGACGGTATACAGATTGAAATTCTCAACGATTGTAGCTTCCGAAGGAAGGAGTTACCATATTCTCCAGCGCGATTCATATGCACACACGAGGTATCTATGAGAAAAATGCAATTTTTGCGATATTATAAAATATTATACAATATTATGGAACCTATATTTGACAAATGATAATTGTTCGGTCAATAGGTCTGAGTGGCGTGGTGCGTCACTTCCGTGGCTCTCAGGAGCTGCCAATCATCGATATTAATCCCAAATACGACTTCAACTACCAGACAGCCCGACCGGTCCTGCCATTCAGAAAATTCTTACCGGTATAATAAAATCCCATTGCCCATTAAAATCACATCCATGCCGGAGCACATCTTTGCCTGCATTATTACCCAGTGTTAAACACGCACCGATTACGGATTGAGAAAGAAGAATATTACGTTCACAACGTCTAAACTAGTAATCAGTGCTGTGTACACGCTGTTAATATAGCCCTGACAGCCGTAAATACTATATTATGTAAATATTCAGCCTTAAATACTATAGTCTCAGTGACTCAGTCTCATCAGCACTCCCACTCTTAACCGAGCTTGTATTTGCAGGGCGATCGGATTGTCCTGGAGTGCAATTTCACTACGGAGAACGACATTCAACCTGTCTTTGTAAGTTAGGAAAAAAATTGTAATTATTGGTGGATATTTACAAATAGGACGATATTTCGTGCAGGGCGGTGAAGGTTCCATGGAGGAAATGTGCCTGGCTTTTCTCATGTACTATCCTAAAGCCGGATTGAATGCGTGCGGAACGAAATTCCGTGCTGCAGACTACTTGGCCATGATGGCGCAACCACGGCCTAATCAGTACGCAGCACCGTAGTTAACGCCGCACCGCGAATAAAACGTTTTGTAATCTCTTATAACCGTTAACAGTTGTAACAAATTAGAAAAAATTCAATGAAAAATAATAAAATTTAAAAAGACGATTCAGTGCAAAGGAAGCAATTTTTTCTTATTAGAAATTAAATATATTTCTGTGCAGATCGGCATTCCTGCCTAAAATTACGCCGGACATCGCTAAAATCCTCATGACCGGCACCAGCGAAATGAACGAAGCGCACCGATCCATCGTCAAAAATATTCAGCCGCAAGCTCAAAAGTACTTTAGCTCGCGCACCTGGAGCGAAGAGGACGCCAAACCGCTGCATGATTTCTACACGAGGGGCGTTAATTACATGAGCATATGCATATCGCAGGTACGGAACGACAATCTCAACCAGTATAAATTATTTTGTTGTATACATTTACATGACGGTTGGCGGTAGGGAAATCACTCGGTGTCGATGACCGACAATCCGCCCGTGATCGACCGATGGGCGCCCAAGAGGAGCGATACCTGCGATCAGCCATAACACGTCTGTAGTTGTGGAAATCATTCTTTTGCATGCAAATTAAAATATTTCTGCAGCAAAAATAAAGTTTTTATATCTGGTTTCGCTTTGTTAGGTGCATGGGTATTAGTTTAATTTGATACGTTACAATTGGAATGTTTGTTTTCCATACTCGGTAGCAATTTGAAATTCTCCAGCTTCCTTGGGTAAGAGCATGCCCTGGGCCCCTGACATCGAATCTGTCCTGAGTCTCAATACTGTTGGAACTAAATAAACTTTGATTTATGCCAAAAGAGTTCATTCAGGAAACAGCAATGTAAACACCAGGTAGTTTTAATACAATATATAATTAATGCCGACAATACAAGTACATTCTATCCTTGGTTATCGCATGTGTTATAGTCACTGGCATTCATATTAACCATCTGACCAAAGAGGCCCAAGAATGCACATCCGTTCAAGTAATTTGTATTCCCGCATTACCAGTTTTGCAGTCACAGTGGCAAAAAGCAGCATAAAATGCATACTTCTATAGCTGTGTGTTTATGAACGAATAACTTCTCGTGTATTATTCTGATCGCGAAGATAAAATGGTCACGCTATCGAATTAGCCAATGCCTCACCCAGTGGAGACTGCTTGAGAAAAGTGCCGACGCTGGGAAAAAATATCACGGAACTGCGGTGGGTGTTGTATAGAAAAAAATTTTTAAACATTAAAAGACTAAACAAACAAATTTTTAAAGATACAAAGTAGTTTTATCATTATATATACAGAGAGAACATAACACCACAGTCATGCTGGGAATTGTGTTGGCCTTCTTAACACTCGCACTCGTCTATGGTTTAATTACACGGAGTTTTCATGTGTGCCGCGCAGGCGCAGCCCATGGGTTCGTCCCAGTCTGGTGTAGAACGGTCTGATATTCATGCAAAATGTTTTCTGCACTTAGTTCTTCCTTTTCATTAAGCACCCAAGTAAAAAGAGTTCGTTTTAAATCGGTTAACTGAATTTGAAAAGAAGTGAGGACTTCGCAAAAAAATTCGCAGCAGAGTCAAATCACGCTGCCATACTGGGAGGCTGCCATTTGTTCACCAACCGGAAGCGGTTGGAATTCGTAGTTTCTCAGTTTTCAGTTCATTCATTTTTACTAACTGTTTCAATAAATGAAAAGCAAACAAATTTTCAGAGGAATTCAGGTCAGGTAGGAAGAAATCAACAGCCAGATTAACGTTCCATGAATTTTTGAATGATTAAATGTGCCTCTCAGGCACATGGACGAGGGCGAGTGTTAATCGGCGCATGTCATGGCATCGAATTATCCAATGTCCATCGGACGAAACGAACCCCCGCCGACAAACCGGTGCAGATTCGTTGGGGCACCAATGACACGCACATCGAAGTACAGCTGTCCTATCCGACACAGGGCTGGCTGGCCATGGGACTGTCACCCGACGGCGGTATGGACCAATCCGATGTATTGTTCGGATACTTCGACGATCAGACCAATGACATCATTGTGCAGGTAAAAATACGTCGACTGTTTTTGATTGTTAGCTTTTAAATAAACCAAGCTAATTAATGGAAACAGATGCGGTAGGTTACGCCACTGTGACTTCTGCGTGTCAGTGCGTGCTGTGATCTGATTGTCACAGTCATAAAGCTTTTTGGGATCTATGTAGCAATTTTTATCCTTGTGCATCCGGGATTCATGGTTACATTTTGCGCAGTACCGTATAATAGCTCTTTGACCCAATTTTGTTTTATTTTTTTTCATTGTTTTAAAATTTTTGATCAGTTTAGTAAAATGAGAAATTAAGCTTTTATGTTTTGGTTCAGTTTTTGTGAACATTGTTTAGAAATTAATTTTTTTTCTATCCGCCTTGCTATAAATTAAGTACTTTTTTTGCTATATTATCACGATTCAGATGAATCCGCGATAGTTTTTCAGTAATGCAGCTGCTGTATTATGTTTGATAAATAGGATCGTTATTTGAAAGTAAACCTCACCGCACGCTCTCTCAACCTCAGTCTGGATGACCATCAAGACTGGCAGAAGATTTCCGGCTGGAAAAATGATACATACACCGTTTTGCGGGCCGCTCGCCGGCTGATTACCTGCGATCAGGCGGCCGACCGACCGTTTCAGGTACCGTGGTGCTGCCCTTTCTTTCCCCTTAAAATAAAATGCCTATCAATGCAGATGGTACAATAATCAAAGCGAAATAAAATTAAATAACAGTTGCCCGGAAGTGGAAATGTTTACTACAAGCTAATCAAGCTTTAGGCTTCTTTTTCTAGAATATCCTGCAGCACGTCAGTTACAATCTGCACTATAGACCGCCGTGTAGTCCCACCGCCAATATACGGCACCACAGCTTCCGCTCCTCTACCAGCATTAATTTTATTGCGCCGGACTAGAGCCCTGCACGAGCAGCAAAAGTGCTGCTCAACTCGCTCGTTTCAGCTTTCTGAAACTTCCTGCTCGGTCATCTCGCTCGCGCCCCAACCACCGCTCGCTCGACTCGCTCGTTTTCCAATTTTTCTTTGCTTCCGCTCGCTCAACTCGCTCGTAATTTTATTTTGGCAAATCGGCTCGCTCGTGAGATCGGCAAAAATTTACGTATCCATTTTTTGCACGAATTAATTATACCAAACTTTTCACCAACACAAAAACTCAGTAAGTGTAATCGGATGTTCAGAGACAATCACTTATATCTCCATACTGGTAGTCCGTTTCATTTCAGTTTTTCATTTTTTCGCTACTACATTTCTCTAATTTTCAACTTGATGTAGTTTTCTTAATTTAGTCTGAAATAAATACATACAGTAGAATGCTCAAAATTAAAATGCACCTTTCTTATGAAGCATTCAACTGATTCATAAACCCGTCAAATAATATTTTTGTTCGCTACGAGTACAAAATATCAAAAGTTAGTCCTGAGTCCCAACCGGTCTAGGAAAGTTAGTAAATCACTTCGCGCGAAGCGCGAAGGTGACGGTGGTTTAAGACCGTTTTCAGGTCGGTCAATGTAGTTTTGTACCCGAAACTTCTCCAGTTTGCACAATGTTAGCCTGTAAGCTCGCGATCGCTCGCACCCGACCATCCCGCTCGCTCGGCTTGCTCGCAATTTTTTTCAGTTGTTCGGCTCGTTCGCAAATTCGCAAAACGACGCCTGCTCGCTCGAAGTGCTCGCGAGCGCCGAGCGCTCGTGAGCTGAGCCGAGCGGCTCGGCTCGTGCAGGGCTCTACGCCGGACCAGGCGACGGAACGAGCCTTGGCCTTGCTGTGGGATGAAATGAGAATTAAAAAGGAACTGCAGTTCACCATAGGCAGCGTATGTACAAGTTTGTCCCGCATTTTCCATCGTAAAAGGCACAGAAGAGGAAGTATTTAGCGCAAAGTTCTGCTATCAGGGATTGCTAGTACTTTGTAGTTTTGCAACTGCACTACGTTTACCACAATAGGCATTTTTCGCAAACGCTCCACTTAACCATAGCACTACACTTAACCATACGCTATGGTTAAGTGCAAGCGTATGGTAAGTGTGAATACCATACAAACTCGTTGTATGGTAGCCAACTTCCAGAGGCTCCCCTTAGTTCCTGTAAACCTGATTTCATTGATTATGGTTTTTTCGGACACAGAAAGCATTTCTAAATATGAATCTTGATGCTGCAAACAATACCAATTCTCGTAGCGCAAGAGAAAAAAATAAATTGGAAGGCACTGAAAAGCCAGCTGCGCGCCGCTGGCTCAACTCTTCATACGCTGCCACCTTGATGGCGGTCGACCACTACGCCGGCAACAAGTGTTTTTCTCATGAACGAAGTGCATTTTCAAGTCTTTATTCAACAAGGTTGTAATTTCCTAAAGTTTTGAAATGGCGGCTGCCGATGATCGTTCTCAGCCTCAGGCAAAAAATCGCAGGAATCGTTTTACCGCGGAGCTTGATTTATTGCTAGTGGAAGAAGCCAGTGCACAGAATCCGTACGCAGCTCGGAATCCTCGGGAATGCTGGGAAAAGATCGCCGAAAATCTCAATACGACGAAGGTGAAGGTTGGCTCGCATTCATGCAGGTTTGGTTTTCGCACGAAGCTTATTTTAGTTCTATTTATATACAGAGATTCAAGACGTTGCTGACTGATCGCGCGTGTCAAGTTCGAGTGGACAAGTTGGTAGAGGCATTTATCAAGCAAGATCTCAGAAATCTTGTTCGAACTGGCACCGAAGAAATCTACGGCCGCATTGAAGCAGCCCTTTCCTCCTTGTCGGATAGCAAACAAGACGCCGTTGCTTTGACAGAACAGAAGAAACAGCAGAAAGCTGCGTAGGCTCAGAAACGTAATGCAGAAACGGCCATTATTCAAAGCGCCGGAAAATCGACGTTTACAAAAAAGAAACGGGTGGACGATCTCGCAGATTATCGCCTTTCTTCTTCCAGCGCATCGGGAGCTACTGAAGGATCTGATAACGATGAATGGGTGGATTCCGCCGCCGAAGAAGAAGCGGCCATGCAAAAACCGGATTATGATCCTGCAACATATGAACGCGAAAAAACTGCCCGAAGATTGCGCCAGAAATGCATGCGACCAGCAAAACTCAAACCGACTAAAACATCCGCCGAACTTGAAGCTGTCAAAGCCATAGCTGAGGGTGATAAAATGAAATGTAACATCAAAGAAAAAGAGTTGAAAAATCCGAGAATTCGAGGAAAAAAAATTTAGCAGGAGAGCTGCGAGAAAAGCAAATGGAACAAGAGAAAGAGCTCCGAAGCGCAGAAGACCAGCGAAAGTACACAATTCGCATGCGGGAATTAGACTTGCAAGAACGTGAGATAGCATGTAGAGAGCGTGAGATTGCATTGAAGGAGAAAATGAGCGGTAATTAATTTTCTGATTTTAAGTCCGAAGTATAATAAAATACACACAGCAGCACGCAACTTTATTCATCAAACGTAACTAAATATTCTTCCAGACTAGGTGGCTCTAAATCGAAATACTAGCTAGCTTGATTATGATGTATACAGTTATGACAATTGATAAGAATAACAGCTACACGGTATAGTTTGTTGACTGGTTTAACGTACATTCGCATTTGGT